AATGAATCAATTGTTTATTTATGGTCATATACTTTAGTGGAGCATGACAAAAATGACAGTTTGTAACTCATGCCTGTATTTTGAGAATGTTAATCTATGTTGATTTGGGTATCTGTAAATCATGACATGGAGGTGTATGACTGAATCATAAATGGAAATTCCCTGAGATGATGAGCAATCAATTACAAATTAGGAATTTGCAATTGATTGCTCATCATCTCAGGGAATTACAAGAAGTTAGTAACAATTAAATATTTCCTGTTACTAAACAGATGCACAAAGAAATAAATGATCAAGATGCATTTTATATGGCAGAAATCGCTCACTTTTAGAGTAAAAATTTAAGTAAAACAAAAAGAAAGAAGCAAATTCGAGGTCATCACTTCTTATTTGAAAGTTAAGAGTTCTGTTATCCAGGTAATCATTGTAGTTTTAGATTTAGATCTGTTCTTACTAAAATAGTATTTAAATCACCAAACATAAGTCATTTAAAAGCATATCTGGTTTTATAAAAGAGCAAATTATTATTTTTTGTTTTGTAAAGTAGTACAGAAAGTTGTGTTGAAATAGATAACAACAGAGATACATCAGTGTTTATAAACCAGAACATCCCTGTCATATATCATACTGACATTCTGCTATGTAGTGTAATAGTTTCTGGTTTTCAAAGTCCAAAAGTATTTTCAGTTCAATTTTACTGTGAAGCACCTCAGTGTGAGAAAAGATTACTATTAAAATCCTTGTCATAAAGTCAATATGAAGGGGGCCCCAATGTGGGTAAAAATGACTAAACTTTAGTTGCTCTTTGAAATACATTGAAGTACCATTGTGTGGGCTAAGGACGATTCCTAGTTTTATAGTTATCTGAGGAGCATCTCAGTGTAGATAAATAGGACTTAGACAATTTTAATTTTCTAACAGGGTGGTCAGCCTTTGAAATATGATTGCCTTCAGGTGTGGTAGACACAACAAGATTGGAAGAGTTCAAGATAAGGCTTAGTACATAATTAAAATATCATGGCTGAATAGATTCAACTGGTTGTTTGATGAAATGAATGGGACAGCTATGCTATGTTTGCTTAAAGTACTAGTTTTATAGTTGATCTAAGAAGCACTTCAATGTAGGTAAAGATGACTAACCCTGAGTTTCAATGCTGATCTGCAAAACACCTCAATGGTGATCAAGGTGACTAAACCTTAATCTTATAATTAATCTATAGCATATCTCAAGACAATCTACATGTAGCTCAATCTTAAAGTTTACCTGTGGAAACTTCAGTATTAAAAAACACGAGTGTGTCTGTGCAACATCTCAGTTTTGGTGAACATAACTAAAACTCACTTTTATGGTTGATTTATGTACTACCTCAATGTGGGTAAACAAGAGCACCATTAAAATTTACTTGTATATATATCCATAGTTGAGCTATGAAGAACCTTAATATAATAACAAACAGTCATTATACAAAATTAATGACTGATCTGTGATGGTTTAGAATTTAATAGAAACCTTCTATAGCAGACTAATACAAGAAAGCTTAGTAAATTTAAGTAAGTAAATAATTAAGAGTTAACAGTATACAAAATTTAAAAACTCACGTAATTTATTTTCCTTTACTTGTCGTAGCTCAGTCCTTGGAATTCCTGGTCCTAAACATTCCAGGATGTAGTACTTAGCACCAGGACTGAAGATGGCACTGTTGTACAAACACTGATCTCCAAGATCACATGTTAAACACATGTCTGACCTCTGTTTAGCTGCTGCACTCATTACTTTGACACTAAAAACATGTCTTTCCCCAGGTTTGTCTTCCAATGTAGTAATATAATATCTATACAAATAAATAATGTCATACACAATGGTTTCCTGCCATTTATTTACTTTGACTAAAGAATGTCTTAAAAAACAATAATTTCTAGTATTACCTAAATTATATAGCCAAACTAGTTTATTTTCAGGCACTGCACCAGATATTGTGATATTCTACAATCTTAATAATGTGGAAGAATTTTCAGTCAAGTTATGTAAAAGCTACAAGAGCTATAATGCTTGAAACATTAGAATCACTATAGTGATAATGCATACAGATAAAAACCACAAAAAAATTAGTCAACAGATTTAACACAGAAATTTCTACATTTTTAAAGTTCAAATGAATTTCGATAAACACCTCTCAAATACTGTAAGCTTTTCCTTGTTGATTTTGCACTCATGCTGTCAACAAAGTATGTCACTTAAAAATTTTGAATATTCTTCATGAATTACAGAGCACATGTCACATACCCATAATCCTTCATTCTCCCACCTTCTGTGTGACTTATTGTGTACACATCAGGGGACCTTATACAAGCTCTGCTTTCCTGCCATAATTCAGGTTTTATTGTAAGTTGCAGTCCTGAGGAAAACCCTGATTCTATGAAGAACAGGTGAATTATGATGTATAAGTAAGCATCTTTGACATCCACTTGAGAAGGAATTTCTATCAGATTCTTATGATTACCATCTTGAAATTAGGAATGTCAAGTAATGATTGATCTCCAGATTTCTTTGGCATTATAAAAAGAAGATAGTAAAATCCTGAGGAAACTATTTCCATTAATCCCTTTCTGTTAAAGGTTCAAAACTTCATGATCCAAAATTGTAATATAAACTAGACCTGATGAAAGAGTTAAAAACTGGAAGGGTCAAATGTGGAAGAAAAGAATAAAACTGAATAGAAAATCTGAAGTAAAGAATCTGAAGAACCTGAAGGATCACAAAGCCAAAGGTCTCACAGATGAATAAATGATCCAAGATGATTCCTAAAAGTATGGACAGAGGACTCATTTGATCAAAGGAAATTATTTCAAATTTAAAATAGAACATACCTTAGGGAAGGAAGATAATGAAAAACAAGCATAAGCTTCATCAGGATTAGGGCTAGCAGACAATTAAATCCTGGAAAAATGGGGTGGGTGTTACACAAATTGAGCATCTACATGATTGTGAACCCACCAGGAACACCAGCTTACAATTTTGGCATTAAAGGCATGAATACATTGACCAATAAGGGGTGACAATGCAGACACTGGATTAAGCTGCATGCTACAAGAAGACTGCACGAGTAAGTGCTCCAAAGAAGTTGTAGAAGTTACAATATTGTCAGAAATATTTGCACAACCTTACCCCTGAAATGCTGCAAGCCCTTCCTTGTTGAGTTTGCACACATGCTTTCAACAAAACATGTGGCTCAAAATATATGAATGTACTTTTATGTGTCACAAACTCATAATTCTCCACTCTCTTATTGTGCATGCATCAACAGATTTTACATAACCTCTGTTTTCCTTTCAATATACAGATTTTCATGTTAACAGTCAGGCTGTTAATTTTGCTACAGTGAATTCAAAAGTCATCATAATTATGACCAGATGTGAATTTGTGTTATTTAATCAAACAATAAGATATAAAATAACTTGAAACCAAAACCATCTAGTTAAAGATAAAACTCTCAATCTTTAAAGGTTATATGAACCAAAAATGTGTACTCAACTTTGTTAGCATGTTGTTAGTAAACTAAAAAAGTCAGTCCTGAATGGTTTATTACACTAGGATAGAAAAATGCTGAAAACCAAACTTCTAAAACAAGCCAACAGCCATTCGATAAAACATGATTATTCCCTTCTCACTATCAATAGTGTTTACTTAGAGTTAATCTTAAAAACTCATTTGAATTTCAACAATCTTCTCAATTCAATGCTAAATTTTTTGCTACCACACACATGACACTGTAAAAGTTATTTTTAATTAGTAATTGCTTATCAAGAATAATACTCAATTGTAAAATAGAATACAGGAATTCTGTTAAAACATTAACTTCCTTACTTTTATCACTAAATCTTATCATCTGTTTTATACATGTGTTCAAATTGTCTTGAAATTATTCTGACTCTTACACTGTATCCATGTCTTCTTTATGAGAAAGAATATTAGTCACATCATAACTTCCATGGGTAAGAGTTGTCTTCTGTTGATTCTACAGTTTTAAAGACAAGATCTTTTAATGTTCTCTTTTATTTTCCAATTTATTTAAACTCATAATTCTGGTACAGTTCTGCAATTTTACTATAAAAAAATAAAGAAATTTAACTTTTTTAGATGCTTTTACAGGATTCTTTAGTTACAATAAATGAAAAACAGAAATAAAATTTCTTATTATTCAAAGAGAAAAAAATTGCCATTAAAGTGCTATTAGAAGCTTATACAACTTTTCTAGAGAACAGGCTATAAAAAGAAAAAAAAGTACAACTTTGAGGGACTGAACTTAGTTATGATTTTCAATTAATTAGGAACATTAATCATTATATTTAAATATTAATTTCTCAAGATAAACAGTAACTACTAAAAAGCTATTTATTCAAAAAGAACCAGCTGAATACAAGTTTCTTTTACTTAAAGGCTTGTTATTTTGTTCTATTGTTAAACACGAAGCTATACAATGGATATCAAAACCCAATTTTTAGCTTGGTAAGCTGTTAGACTTACCACTGAGAGCTATTCAAAGGCAAAAGAAAAGACAAACATAATATGCTTATTACTTATATTACCAAGAAACCCCATACTGCTAATCATCCAAAGTCAAGGAAGCTCATAGTTGTTAAAATTCAAGCTCCTTACTGATACTACAAAAGCATGAAGGCTAAATGCAATAGTTACTTAAAACTTCACATGTAATCCTCTTGATTCTGGGTTTTACATTTCTTTTGTTTATCTGTATGCTGAAATTGACATATTCATTGTTACTCTTCTTGTTATCCATGCTATAATCCTTAATTTTCTTATTAGCACCTTGTCTTGCTGACAGATAAACATTGGAGCATAAGAGTGAAAAAGGTATGAAAATAGATAAATAGTTAAAAGATGGCCGTTGGATGATTAGAGTGAATATAGTAGTTATTCAGTATGTCAGTGATTTCAAATTACTTGAGACTAGAAAGTGAAGTTGCACAATGAACAGAATGCACAGATAAGTATTCCTTCACACATTGCTACTGTTACAGCTTCTAATATCCACAGTGAAGTGCTTCATGCTAAGTTACAGAATACAACATTGCTTTTCTTAGTTTTGTTCATAACACTAATTGTTGACAATAATATGAAAAATAAATGTTTACCCACATAAAAGAAAACTTAGTCAAATTAACAGAAGTGTGAGGAATATGGGGGTTCTTACATCCCTATGTCTTAAAAAAAACACGAACGAACTCCAACACTCCCCCAGCCTAAAATTTTTGCATGTCCTCAGATAAGTTCTGATTCATGGCTGTATAACCACCATTTTATTTAATCAAGAGCAAACCAAAAGCTAATTATTTAAAACTAAAGCCCATATTATTAATAATCAAAGTAAATTATAACAATGGCTGCTCAAACAAAAAAAACACTTCAATATGTGAGAGAAACAGAAGATCTCATACTCAAGTAAAATATGTAACCCCAAATGCTTTCCACAAACTGTTCTTAATGTAGCAGAGTTATTTAATGTGAAGGCAACAGAAGATCCCTTACTCAAATAAAAAATGTCACTTTTAATTTGTATGTTTCACAAAACATTCTAAATGAAATGGATTTTTTTAATATGCAGTTTATGTTCAGTATGCAGTAGTGAATATGAACGTATAATTTAATCTTTCCCAACAAATATATGTCTTGGAAAGACTTTTATATAAATCACTGAATAAGCAATATGAAATGAGAGACTGTATTATTATAGCAAGGACAAGTAGTCCTAAGGATATCACTCAAATAACTGCAAGTGGGGGTGTTGCACTCCTATGATTTTCTTATTGAGAAGTTTTTCAAAGTTCCATCTTCTCAACATGAATATTTTGTGGAGTGTACTCACTGATTAACAGATGATTCTACAATACAGAAGGAAATTAAAAAAAAATATAGTAACTGTAAGAAAATCAACAATATAAGGTCCACTGCAACTCCACAAAACTTATGTATTTGTGTACATATGTTAAAATAACAACTTAATTTCAGAAAAACAAAAGAACTACAATGTATATTGTATAACTTACCTTCATAAACCCAATCAGGAATTCCATCATAAATTTCACCTTCTTTGCCATCGTTTGTTATTTGTATCCAGTCAGCACCCAAGTTTGGTACATAATATATATCATTGTTCTTAATAAAAACCTGTCAGCCTATTGTTTGCCCACAAACCCTCAACATTTTGTTTTTGGATTTTTATAGATCTCAAAATTGACCAATTTGACCACTAAAAAAGTGTAAATCTACTGATTGGCAGAAAAGTATTGTCCTTGATTTACTGAAATTACCAGAAATAAATGTTAGATTTAAGCTAGATATCTTTCAAACTTACCAGAATGTCAACTTTGATAATGTGACGGAATTTTCCATTGGAACCATCATTTACTGGTAGACGCAAAAAATATGACTTCTTATCTTCACTGATTATTAGACGTTCATAAATATCAACCCAACCAGTTCTGCTTGTTTCTTCTATGTTCTGAAATATTTTGTAACAATCAAGCAAAGTTTGATTACATCACATAAATAATTTTTGCATTAATCTAAACACCTGAAACATAAATGAATTCTGAACATCATGATTTATTTAGTTTCTATAGCTATAGAATAAATTAAATTTTTATTTATTTATTTTTTCAATGGGGAATATAACAAGCAAGATATGTCTAGCTGTCTACAGGGAACAAAGTAACTTATAAGAAGCAATATAAACAAAAGTCAGGCATACTTCGCAGCATGAAGTAACAAGATAATCAACAACTTGTCTAATCACATGAGTACACTATGTAACCAACAGTCAGTAACCTTCTAGTAGCATAAAGAAAAATGACTACTCAATAACCCAGGTACATATAGTTGGTTGGAAGAACAATGTAAGTAAAAAAAAGGCCAAAACATGACTAGCTGTTTGAAGGTACAAGGTCATCAACAACCAAAGCATGTTTTTTTCACTTAGAGGAACAATACAATCAAAGAATTCATTTATTATTTCATTACTTTTAGATGTTGGTATATAATAATATTCATCATACCTTACATATAAATCAGTCATATTTACCATATATACTTAGGCATTTTCATTAATTATATTGTATACAGTATTGTATTGGACTCCCATCACCAAACATGCTTGCTGACAATACATCTTACCAGCACATTTGTGATGGACAAAAAAACCCTATCATGATCATACCAACCTGATCAAAGCTTTTTTTATTATATCTTCTCATGTTTTAGAGAGGAATCATACAGCATTAGGTAGTGTTGGTTAATTATGTCACTACTTCAATTTTTGGTAATGGTTCAAGATTTGTCACATTGTTTGGGCAAGAGAATTGTAGGTGGATTACGTGACTTCAGTAGTTACCATGCAATAAATATGATAGGCCTTTAGATGAAATACCAGAAGGTAAAAGAAATAGGGGTAACTCCTGGTTCTGATTACATGGTTTGTTACAATTGCTGACAGGAGAGTCAGGTTTTAGGATTTTTGTCCTGGATTTTGTATCAGGAATAAGAATTCAAGTTAAAATAATCCAAAAGTTGAATATATTCTGATATTTTATACATTTGATCATCATAGGTCTAAATTTAGAGGATCAGAAGATGGGGCAAAGGGAGAATTGAGGAGGGAATTTTATTCCAATGACATTATACTACCAATCAGATCATACTCTAAAGATAATTTTAAAAATGTCCTCATATTACGAAGTTTGGTAATCTATCATGCATTAAGGGAAATGAATGCTTCTTGATTCAAGGTGTCGGAACTAGAGGTGCTGGAACAGAACCCACTGGCTTGAGATAAAGAGTTGCTGTGTACCTTTTGGTGGTACATTGTACCACTGCTTTGGCTTGTCTTGATGAGACTGCGACTGTTCCATAAACATTTGAATAAAAGCTGTGAGATTTGAATGAGATATTTCTATAGTTAGAGAAGGCTCAACTGACTTTAAGTTAGAAAATTTATATTTCGTGAGGGAGGAAGTTTCAAATTTTTTGGACAATCTGTAACACTAGGAAGAATTAAAAACCTGCCCTAGAAAGGTCAACAGAGTCTTGAATTGTCCTAAGTTTTCCTCAGTTAATTAAATATGGCGGAGTTGGTTTCACAGGATATTACAGACATTTCTTTGAAGTTTTATGCATTTATTATGGAACCATTGATAAAGCTAATATGAAAAATATTGTTTCTTTGATCTCAGGATTGTGAAATAGCTTATGTGACTTTAAAACAAAAAAAAATTATTTCTGATCCTATATTATCTTTTCTCAACTTTAATGTCTTGTTTATAGTACATACAAATCACTGATGCCTTGTAGTTAATACTGAGAAGAAGACTAGCGATATTTTAACCACACAACCAAAAATAGAGAACAGTAAAACACAGAATAATCATAGAATCATAACATTTATACTAGCCCTTCATCATCATGACATAGTGAGGCTTGCATGCTTCTCCTGAAAATAACTTTCATACTGTTAATCTAGATTTTGATTGGCTCCATAAGATGTGCAGCTGGTCTCAAAACCCTAATAAATCTTGCTAAGAAGGTTCAATTTCTGGCAGCTATTTCTGTTGCAACAAAGAGAAATTGTACAGATAAAAAACTGAGCTTAAAGGCACAACTGTTCTATGCTTCACACCATAAGATTTCACCTCGATGAATAACACAGAGCAGGACAAGAAGATTTTTGAGTGTTTTGCCACAGAAATATGCAATTTTTCACAAGGTTTATGCCCAAAACGAAGAAAATAAAGGTATCAACAAAACAAACAAACAAAAAAAAAAGATATTTCATATGTTCGAAATCTAGAAGGAGGCGTAGCCTCCTTTTCTTCCTTTGATAAGCCACTACTGATATATGCATCCAATGTGGGCTTAGGTACATTTCTTAATGAAAGGAATGCCTAGCTGATATATGGGTTGTTGAACATTTTCAATCTTACTTTGAGGACTCTTCTTTGTTGGTGCTCACTGAACACAATACTTTGCAATGGTTCTTTTTCTCAAACAAGGGTGTTTGAATAATTGTGTTGCTAAGCCTCAAGGTTTTTTATTTTACAGCCATACATTGTTAAAATAAGTATTGTCCTTGATGTTTTCTCTCAAAATCCATTGTGTGATAAGAAGTTGGCTCTGTTTAAAGAATTTTCTTGTAACTTTTTCTCTTGTGATGATGTTGCCTACAGAAGAGGATATTGCTCTTTTGTTGAGATAAAGAATGACTTCACACTTTGCAGGACTCTGATATCACACTAAAATCTATCACTAAGAGTATAAATCAGGAAGAGCCATATATTCACTTAATTCACATAGTTTTGGAAGGAGTCTTGATTACAAGATGTCCTGATCAAGCGAGTTATAAGGATCATGGATGTTCACTATTGCTTTATAACCATTAGTTGACTACAACATCATTTTTTTTTACCATGAAATGCATCAGGATATGAAGTATGTTAGATAATGTGGTCCTTGTCAAATGTCAAAGCCTTTTCAACAACTTCCAAGTGAATATATGGTCCCTATAGTATCATCCAGAGCTATCAAATATGGG